TGTGTCGTATTCATATGTCTAACTGACTTTTATAAAGACTTTGACAAAATTCTACACACATGGCTGGCAAATATATTACAAAACACAGAAATAGATAATTAGGATGTGAGAATCATTAAAAATTTATAACCGATATCAGAAAGCCATAATATGCGTAGAACTCTACAACAAAACTCTAAATAGATACTTAAAAGAAGCGGAGTAGGACGACGATGTGTATTGCCCGCTGCACTTTTTAATATATCGTCGGTGACCTGGCAAATTCTCCTATCTGCATTTTTTATGAAAATGAGTTATCGATGAATTCGGAATCGGCTTACACCAACGATTCGTCCGTACAAGTCCTATGAACGAGAAAAATGTCTAAATATATAAAAACGCTACTTGTAATTTCTTCTATATAAATTCACGCAGTAAACTATAATGCAACATGTCCTATCTTGTCAGTTTGTATGGTGTAGTCATAGGGTATTGAATGCTAGTAGACGATGAGTTGTTTTTCAACGAAATACGATATTTTTGGTAAGTTTCACAAGATATTATGTACATAATAATGGTAATATTATGTGAGTATAAAATTTAAAGTAATAAGATTCTAAACTAAAACGATAAACATAGACGAAAATCTAGTTTTTATAATTGCTTTCAAATAGGAGAATTTGCAAGTAGGCAACAAACATCGATTAACTGATAGGAGAATTTGTTTGTCTCAATAATTGTATAGTAATCATGTCGAAGAGAACTTTGCGTATACTTGCAATGGCTAACGAAAACTTGGTTGTAAATAGAAGCGACCAAATAGAAACTCTACTAGTAAGCCAACTGACAAACTCTGATGAAATCGACGCATGGGAAAACCTAAATATAGAAAATACGCCTTAATTATGTTATTAGACGAACCTCTATCTGAAGACAGTCATACTATTATTACTGATGAAAACAAACAGTGATAATGAAGTTACCATGAAGAAAAAAAGGAAGCTTTGTCAGAATAAAAATCACTGGAGAAGATACAGAAACAAAAAACTTCGAATGGAAGGTAAGATATACATGGGGTTTGGTAAAAAAATCGGGAAGATTAAGCAAGATATCCAAAGAAAAGCAAAACTTTTAAAAGAGGCGTGTACGTCAGTAAAATGTCGAAATTCCAAATTAAGATATTGCAAGGAATTTACATAACAGTGCAGAAATCATATATTTAAGAACTTCTAGGATATGACTGGGGATCAACGTAAGGTCTTTGTAGCATCTCATGTATTTAAAACTACAACATTTAAATCAAACAAGGAAAATTCAAGGAGACAAGGTACGTACACTTACTACATACATGACGGGAATGAAAACTTATAAGTATGTCGTTGTATGTTCACAAATACATTAGATATAGATTATCAAACCATTCATTATTGGCTGGATAATAGTTTTTGCGGTATGACTGACGACGGATCGCGTGTTTCTACCAAGAAAATGATAAAAACTAGGTATACAGAAAGTCATAAATACTTGGAACAATTTTTTGAGAGTTTAACTAAACTTCATACTATTGTCGTAGCGAAACACAAAAATTGTATTTAGAATATTCTTTTAACAGTATATCAGATTTGTAAGTTGTTTATGTAAACAATTTTTGCCAAGAATAGAATATAACTCCTTTAGGTCGCAGTGTATTCTCAAAACGATTTAAGGAGAATAATTTCGCTTTATATATACAGAAAAACACCAATGCAATATTTGTTTTGCATTTAAACATAAGAATACGAGTGAAGAAGAATATAGAGCCGATATAAAGAGAATGAAAGACGCCAGAGAAGCTAAAACTTTAGATAACGCCATAAGTGAAAAAGATGAAATAATAGCACTAACAATGGACCTCCAAGCCATAAAATTGTGCCTATATGTACCACCGAACAAAATGTACTTTAAAACCAAATTGTCCTGTCATAACTTCACAGTTTACAACCTAAAAACTCGCCATGTTGTATGCTATTGGTTTTCAAAAGACGGAAATAACCAGCTTAAAGCATCCACATTTGTTTCTTGTATCATACATTATTTAGAGGAGAACTGTGTTACCGATTCCAAAACGCCAGTTGTTATTTATTCTGATGGATGCAGTTATCAAAATCGTAATAATATCCTGTCAAACGCTTTACTAAACTTTGCTATCAAACATAATGTGTTAGTATTTCAAAAATATCTTGAACCGGATCACTCGCAAATGGAATGTGACTAGGTACATAGTATAATAGAAACGAATCTTAAAAATAAGGAAATCCATTTACCCAGTGACTATGCTGACATTACAGCTCAAGCAAGAAAGGGAACTAAGCCATACAGAGTCAAAATATTAGACCATATGTTTTTAAAGACTATTCATCCTCTAACCACATGCGATATTCCTCAACCCGACCAGGAGGAAAACCGTATAACCCAACCATTACTGATATAAAATGTATCAAATACGATCCAGTTGGGACCGTAGAAATAAAAACTCACCATAAAGGAGAATACTTACAGGTCCCTAGCAGACCAAAGACTATGCCAACAATTGTGGACTATCCACCTTTATTTCTATCCCCTCCTAAAATAAAAACGAAGAAATGGCAACATTTACAAGATCTAAAATTGACCCTACCGAAAGATTCGCATTTCTTTTATGATTGTCTTTTACACGGATAGATCCTTTTATTTTGTTCATTCAGACATATTATACCTACCTATGAAATAATTTTTGTTTGTTGTTTTATATGATAATTGTGTTTTACATTGCCATGAATAAAACTGTTTAATTTAATGAATGTTTAATTTTAAAGAATTATTTATTTTATTTGGGGAGATATTGCCTGGACACCGACGATATGCTTAAAAGAGATAGTTAAAAAACACTAGAAGACATCCGTAAAGGCATATCAATTAACGAAACACTAACAAATAATCTCAGATATGCAGTCGATACAATACTCCTTTCGGACAGGAGAGAAGGACTGTAAATTTTAGTTGATCGCCCTGCACACTACTGCGAGAGATATGAAATGTCTCTGAACATAAAAGAAATGAAAATAATGATTGTCAATAAGAACAAGATTGAAGACGCAAAAATCTACGGTTAAGAAAAATCTTTGGAGAAATGACTAAATGAAGAGCGTGACCGCAGTCTTGAAATAAAAAGACGCACTGAGAAGCAATGTTAATAAGATGGAAGCAGTAATATGTAATGGAAAACTGGGAATAGACATTAAAACTAGAGTCCTGAGATGCTACGTATTCTTTGCCCTTTTGTTTGGAGTTAAAACCTGGACGATTACAGACGCAACTAAAAAAAGAATTGCCAGCTTTGACAAGTGGTGTTATCAAACAATGTGAAAAAAATAATGGAGACAACACGTAACAAATACGGACACATTAAGTAAAATGAAAAAGAAAAAGATATATTCAACACTATAAAGGAAAAATGGTCTTTGATCACATACTAAATAATGAAAAACATAAGTTGATGCGATTGTCTAAACAAGGCAAAGTGAAAGAAAAACTAATTAACAAATTTAAAGTAGTAGGGTAGATAAACAACTAAAGAACTCTTTAGAATTGCTGCATACGGAGTAAAATGGGTAAAATGATGATAGCTAATGTCCTTAAAGGATGAGTCAAATGAAGAAAAAAAAAAGAAGTAAAAAGAATATTCAAAATATCGACCTGTATATTAAAACCGAATGTATTGAAAGAGTACACTAATTCAAATATTTGGGATAGACAGTGAATAATGAATGGGACCTAGATGTAGATATTGAGATCTAAATTAAAATAGAAAGATCCAGATTCATAAAATCAAGAAAGCTCTTAAGCAATCGCAACCTAAGCGTTAGCATGCGATGGTACTATGAAATGTTACTACGTACTCTTTACGATACTTTACGTAGAGGAAAGCTTGACGTTAACAACAGCAACCATAAATGAGGCTTTAACAATGCGGCTATATCGACACGTGATAAGAACACGTTAGACATAAAGTGACTAACACATAGGTAATAATTTAGAATAAGAGCAAAAGAATTTATTACGACAATCTCATCTCAGAAACCTTAAACAATAGTAATGAGGAATTAACCAGACGTAAAATAGAAATTGATAGCATTAGTATTGAACAAGTAATGGAAATAAAAAACCTTGGAATTACACTCTTCTGCTATAAAGACCTGGACAAAAAAGTAAGAGATCAAGTACAAAAAGCAGATAGACCAATAGAATACGTTAATAACAGTATATGAAGAAACAGATACATTAACACTAAGATGAAGTCAAGAATTTATAAAACCAGTATAAGACCAATAAAGACAAGCCTCAGAATCAAGACCCGGCACAGCCACAACACAAAGACTACTGGAAACATCAGAGATAAAAGTACTGGGAAAAATTACAGGAAATACGCTGAGAGATCATGGACATAAAAAAAAATGATGGGACAACTACATTAGCAAAATAGGGAAGACTCTTATCATCAAAATAGCAAGAGATAACTCACCAATCGGCAGAAGAAGTATCGGACAACTGTGCAAAAGATTGAGGGACAAACTTAGATAGAGGTAATAATCCGTCAATAAACAAACATAATTGCTTATAAAGAGAAAGAAGAAGAAGAAGATTATTTTTTACGTAGAAATTTAGTAGAAATAATAATTGACCAACTTTTCCATTACTGAATATAGTATTGAAATGGATTACAAATTCAAATAAGGTATCACAAGACCAGATTTCAATTAAAAAAAAAAAATAAGAATTAAGCCAGGGCGTCAAAACTGGTGACTTCACAATGTTCCCATATTATTTAAAAAAACTGGCGTTTAAATTTAAAAAGCGATCTATTTTAGTACTTTTGTACAAAGTAAATTTCTTTGTAAAGTCATGAATTTGTTTCATAATAATTTCGCTGCGCTCTGTATATCTGTATAATATATATCTTGTTTTCTATTTGCTAGACATATTAAGTTTTGTTTTTTTTTTAGGTAAAAATATGCCAGTGCTGACTTCTTCTTTATTGGATAAGGATACATCACATTCAGGTATGTTTTGGTGTATTTGCAAAAGTATAAAAATATTTTAAGTTGATATTATTTAAAAGAAACATTGACACATTTTGTTTATTTCATAAAATTTAAAGATGGTATTATAATTGCAATAGGTATTTAAATAAGTTACGGAAATAACTTATAGGAATATAACGATGATTTTCAGTTAGTGTTGAAAATATTGACAATAATATGCTGTCAAAAAAAGTAAAAAATTAATTAAGTTATAGATTGACAACAAGCTGTTAAAAAGAGCCCAACAAGGTAAATAATAATAATAATAATAATAAAAATAATAAGCTACTCATTTGGCATTATTAAGTGGACTAAAACGGATATAGAAAGTCTTCAGAGAAAAGTACGAACACACCTCACAAAGGCACAAAAACACCATCCTCGAAGTGCAGTAGAAAGAACGACATTACCACGGTATTTAGGAGGACGAGGACTTATTGATATAAGCGAACAATTAGATAAACAGATTAATAATTTAAGAACTTATTTTCAGGTGCAGGCGGAGACATCTACTCTTCATCGCGCAATTTGCGCAGTAGATGACACAACACCGATCAACCTGAGGGAACAAGAAATGCGCATAAACCATCTTACTAAGAACGAAAAAATGCGCATCTGGATGGGTAAACCTCTGCACGGGCGACATCCGAATGAAGTCAGTCAAGACTATGTCGACAATATAGCGTCGAACTATTGGCTGACATCAGGAAAGATGTTCCCTGAAACAGAAGGTTCATTACTCGCCATTCAGGATCAGGTTATACCAACCAAAAATTACCTGAAATATATTATCAAAGACCCTCAGGTCCACAACGACAAATGCCGATATGGATGTCAAGCCCAAGAAACGATCCAACATCTTACCGGAGGCTGCCAGGCATTTGCTGCAACTGAATATAAGGAACGGCATGACTCAGTAGGGAAGATCCTCCATCAAGAGATAGCTATTAAACTGGGACTTCTACAAACAAACCATCTCCCATATTATCAATACGTTCCAGAGAGTATGCTTGAGAATAACAACTACAAGCTATACTGGGATCGTACTGTGCTCACAGACCAAACTGTAGCACATAATAGACCAGATCTCGTGCTAGTTAATAAACTAACAAGACAAACAACTCTAATCGATGTGGCGATACCTAACAACAATAACCTGCGTGTTAAATACAACGAAAAGATCGCCAAGTACAGAGATCTGGAAATACAAATAAGAAGACAATGGAGAATGGAAAGTACCCAGACGATACCGATTATTCTTTCTACCACTGGAGTCATTCCGAAGAACCTCCTAGAAAACATAAAAAAGCTGGGTCTAAATGAACATCTATATAAGGTCATGCAGAAAGCTGTGCTACTTTCGACGTCTAGATGCGTGCGAAAATTTTTAGGAGATACACCGACGTACCAAGTCACCTAGGACTCGATAACATGGAAAGAGTCCCACCAGAGCTCAATCCTTTTGATACCGTAGGTATCTGGGATGAGTGAATTTTCCCCTTAGAGGGAGTGTGAGCCGTATGGCTAAATCTGGAAAATAATAATAATAAACCATAAACAAATGAAAACAGAACTAACTTCGGAGTTCGTGCGAAGAGTAAGACAACTAAATCGGTCATATCTTAATAGTAAAAATTTGTTTAAGGCATTAAATACTTACGCCTGTTCCGCGCTGAGCTACTCATTTGGTATTATAAAGTGGTCAAAAACGGATATAGAGGGCCTTCAGCGGAAAGTAAGAACACTTCTCACAAAGGCGCAAAAACATCATCCACGTAGTGCAGTAGAGAGAACAACATTACCGCGGTATCAAGGGGGAAGAGGACTTATGGATATAGGTGAGCAATTAGATAAACAAAATGCTAATTTAAGATCTTATTTTCAGGTACAGGCTGAGACATCTACTTTACATCGAGCAATTTGCGCAGTAGATGATACGACGCCGTTTAAACTGAGGGAACAAGAAATGCGCATAAACCACCTGACTCAGTAAGAAAAAATGCGCACCTGGATGAGTAAACCTCTGCACGGGCGACATCTCAATGAGATCAACCAAGAATATGTCGACAATACAGCGTCGAACTATTGGTTGACATCAGGAAAGATGTTTCCCGAGACTGAGGGTTTCCTACTTGCCATTCAGGATCAGGTTATTCCAACTAAAAATTACCTGAAATATATTGTTAAAGATCCTCAAGTCCAAAATGACAAATGCCGATATGGATGCCAAGCCCAAGAAACCATCCAACATCTTACCGGTGGCTGCCAGGCATTTGTTGGCACTGATTATAAAGAACGCCATGACTCAGTAGGAAAGATTATCCACCAAGAACTAGCTGACAAACTGGGACTTCTCCAAACCGACCATCTTCCTTATTATCAATACGCCCCTGATAGAATGCTTGAAAATGATAACTACAAGCTATACTGGGATTGCACTGTGCTTACAGACCAACCAGTGGCCCATAATAGACCGGATCTCATACTAGTTAATAAACTTACTAGACAAACAACACTTATTGATGTGGCGATACCCAACACCAATAATTTAGGTGTTAAATACAACGAAAAGATCGCCAAGTACAGAGATCTAGAAATACAAATCAGGAGACAATGGAGAATGGAAAGTACCCAGACACTACCTAGTGTTTTATCTACTACTGGTGTTATTCCCAAAAACCTCATAGCGAACATAAAACAGCTGGGTCTAAATGAACATCTTTATAAGGCCATGCAGAAAGCTGTACTCCTCGCGACGTCCAGATGTGTAAGAAAATTCTTGGGAGATACTCCAACATACCAAGTCACCTAGGGCTCGATAACACGGAAGGAGTCCCACCAGAGCTCAATCCTTTTGATACCGTAGGTATCTGGGATGAGTGAATTTTCCCCTTAGAGGGAGTGTGAGCCGTATGGCTAAATCTGGGATAATAATAAAAGTAATTGTCAAAGACCCCCAGGTCCAAAACGACAAATGCCGATATGGATGTCAAGCTCAAGAAACGATCCAACAACTTACCGGAGGCTGCCAGGCATTTGCTGCAACTGAATATAAGGAACGGCATGACTCAGTAGGGAAGATCCTTCATCAAGAGATAGCTATTAAACTGGGACTTCTACAAACAAACCATCTCCCATATTATCAATACGTTCCAGAAAGTATGCTTGAGAATGACAACTACAAGCTATACTGGGATCGCACTGTGCTCACAGACCAAACTGTAGCACATAATAGACCAGATCTCGTGCTAGTTAATAAACTAACAAGACAAACAACTTTAATCGATGTGGCGATACCTAACAACAATAATCTGCGTGTTAAGTACAACGAAAATATCGCCAAGTACAGAGATCTGGAAATACAAATAAGAAGACAATGGAGAATGGAAAGTACCCAGACGATACCTATTATTCTTTCTACCACTGGAGTCATTCCGAAGAACCTCCTAGAAAACATAAAAAAGCTGGGTCTAAATGAACATCTATATAAGGTCATGCAGAAAGCTGTGCTACTTTCGACGTCCAGATGCGTGCGAAAATTTTTAGGAGATACACCGACGTACCAAGTCACCTAGGACTCGATAACATGGAAAGTGTCTCACCAGAGCTCAATCCTTTTGATGCCGTAGGTATCTGGGATGAGTGAATTTTCCCCTTAGAGGGAGTGTGAGCCGTATGGCTAAATCTGGATATTAAAAGTAAAATTCTAGGTAAAATAGCTGTAGAACTATGATTTATGTATATCGTAGATACATCGTTAATATTTACGTTAATATTTGATGTCTTTAAATGTATTTTCTTATTTGTAAACAACTCAATAAGACAAAAGAAAATAAAGACATAATCTCATAAAATATGAGATAAAATTGGGACTTAAGAACGCAACAATTCACAGAATGAAAGTTCCGTGTGTGATAAGTTCATAAACAACATATAGAAAATGTTCAAAACTTTTAGGTTATACAGTACTTCTGAATCTCACTACATCTTAATCAGTTTAAGCATAAGCATAATAAGGATATTGGACCTAAAATTTTTAGTAAGAATATAACTTGACTTATAAGTGATTGTTACTAATTGTTAAAAGATCGTTTTACAAAAAGGTAAATTTGGTTATTTCATAGAACAACGGTGTGTGAAGAATTATAGTCTAAGATCCTAGGGCCGTTCCATATTTTGTCATAAATAAAGTGTATCGAATAAGGTAGTATTAATTGGTATATACTTAAGGCGGAAACGCATTAGAGAGTCGCCGACGCGACTCGCCTCGTCGCAGTCTAGTCCAGCTTAGATTCTTTACGTTATTTTTAATATTCATGAACGTATTTGGAAGTAGCGGACGACTCACAGTACCGACGAGGACTCGATTCAGTCTTTGATGAGAATCTCAAAATGTCTCTGTCGCGATTTGTCAAGTCCTCGACTCTATAGTGTGCGTATACTATACACAGGGACGCGAACACATCACATACAAGACAACTTTGACTTGTCGTTTATTCTCGACAATAAACGAAAGCGCTCGGATAATATTAACAAATATGCCTCTTACGTCATTATTTAATTTGTAATATTTAGTTGCTCGAAGTCGTTTATGTGTAATACTTATCAGAGCTTGTAATAGGTAGACTAACCAAGGCGACTTATTTTATTTATTGGAAAGATGGATGACGAGCAGATAACAATCGAAGTGCAAAAGTATCCAGAACTATATGATTCTGCACATAAACAATATTTAAATCAGCAACGAAAGGACAACTGTTGGCTGGAAATAGGTGAATCGCAGCTTAGAAATTGCAGTGAACGTCTTCTCGCCATCTGAACTATTCCCAGTACACCGACTCCGTCAACAAGCACTACAGTACCTCTAAGAAGAAGATATCCACAATCCAAAAGAACACAAAATGATCCCTCTGTAGCTAACGTTTTTTAGAATTATTAGACAGCGTAAAACGCAAAGAAAGTAGAGCGACTGTAAGTAA